CCGATTGGGGGACGACCCGCTCCTTTTTATGAGCCACAACCCCCCGATATACACTTCTCTCTCAGTCTTTCCCCTTTTGTCTGCTCTCTATGTTTCACTTCTTACCTGGATTGTGTTTAGGCCTCCAACTAACGATTATTTTTATTATCAGTCATATTATCTATAGCCATAATATCTCAATTAACGATTAGTTGTTTGGTCTTGTTTTGTCCACAACCCAAAGATATTCAGTGACACACTGAAGACTGAAGAAAGCAGAAAATATTCACATTTGAGAAGCTCAAATCAGACAATTTTTACTTTGTTTTCTTAAATGAATTGCCAAATATTTTGATAATCAATTAATCACTTTGAGTATTTTTTTAATGATTGATGAAGTGACTAATTGTTGCATCTCTGATTGTTTTGTTTTAAAATTTTTATACCAGATTAAAATTAACCTCTTTATTCCTTCATGTCACTCAAATCTGTACAGTAACTCCTTACAAACCTCTCCTGTCAAAAAGGGGTCGTCGCTGAGCGCCGCTCACTTACTCGGCCTGGCAGCGTTTGCGGTCCACCTCCACGCCACCATGTCCCATGGTCCTTTAGTTCAGCTGGTCCTGCCCATCCTGCCTAAGCCGGTACCGGTCGGAGAAGCTCTCAGCTTGGCGCTGGTCTGCAGCACTCACACCAACATGCTCTTCTGTGTCAGGTGAGGTTACAAACTGTAGCTTTACAGCCTTCCTGTAGTAAAAATCTGTGAGAATCTGTGAAATCTGTGAGAGTGGCTGCTGGACCCAGCTGCCACCTCATTCCTCTCTTCGCTGTCCAGGTTGTGTGTGGCGGCTGTGTGCTATGGGATCTGCAGAGGGGATTCACTGCCTCAGCAACAACAGCAGGACTACATCCCCAACAGCCTCTATAAGAAGGTATCTTTGCCTGAGATTTGCATGTCATGAAAAGGAAATATTCACAGCCTTTACTTGTAAAGAAATTAAAGCCTTGATAGAGCAATAGTAGAAAATGGCAATGTGTTTTTTTTAAAGGTGGAATATAAGATTAACAAAAAAATAAAATTATCAACAGAATGTGAAGAAATAACGTGTATATCTTGTGTTGCGGATCTACTGTAGTTAGCATACTAACCAGTTTGCCCCGGCCCGTCCTGTCTTGTAATACCACTTTGTACCTCAAGAGGCGATAGTCAGAGTACAGCTCAGCCCTCTCCCCCATAGTTTCAGCTGGGAGATGTGTGAGAGCAGTGAGTTTGCTAGGTTACACATGGTCTTTTAGCATTTTTAGTCTAATAAATAAACAAAGTAAACCCACAAAATGTCAAGAAAGGAAATGTTTTTACACATATTTTCCTTATCAAACAGAAAAATACAACCTTCTGAATTTAAATTTCGCCAAACCGTCTTTGTTAGTCTTTCCACTGTGCCAACAATCACCAGCTTTGGTCAAAATAAATCCTTAATTCACCGATGTAGATGTGAAAATATTCAGGCTGTACACGCTGACCTCCTCCTCCTGGCGGTCAGTTAGATGCACAGCTAGAACTCCAGTTAAGCACAAACCTCTGAAATCAAAATGACGCATCCCTCACAATGCGTCATTTTCAGAGGAGAGGGACAAGCACCTCCTGCCTTTATAACATGAACACACATGTTTGCAAGTTTCTTATTTTATTATAATATTATTTTAGTACCTAACCTCTACATCTGACTTTGTGTACGTTCAGCTTCTGTACATCATCCCAAGACTGTTGCCTGAAGCCAGGAGAATTCCCATCACTGCTAGTGGTCCAGTCAGTGAATACCAGGAGGAGAACCTGCCCGGCCTGTGGAGCAGTGCCATAGACCCCAGCAGCACCTGGAGGAAGACTGCTTGGCACCTGTGGAGGCACCCTGCTTTCTGTCAGCTACAACACACACCACAGTATCAGGTAACACAGGTTCATTTGCAGGGGTGTGTCCCGTGTGTCCAGTCATAGAAATTGATTAAAATTACCAAAAATCTTGAAAATAATTTATGTTGTCCTGGAAATTTTGAATAGTATTTTAACTTCTTGCCTGGAACGTAAGCCTGGGTTCCTATTTTGTTTGAAACACTGTTTGCAGGATGCTGCACGGTATGACACGTCAAAGCTGGTTTACTAGTGTCCAGTCTATTTTTTTTTGGAGCTATAAGCAGAATTCTCTGAGAAGCCCATTGTATATGCTATAAATGTTCATATCTACAGACCGGTAATGATCAAATATTGTTGTTAGATACATGCACAGAGATCTTAATTGTAACAAATACTTCGGCTGGGGTCAGAACAGTCAAGATTAGGCCTACCAGTAAATTATATGACGGTTTAGGAGCAAGTGCTGGTCTGTGTTCTTAAGAAAAAAATTATAAAAAAAAAAAAAAGGCCCTGACTGGGTCGGTTTGCTTCCTGGTTTGAATGGTGGGAGTGTAGAATATTATGCAGCGGTCAGTAGCTGTGTTACTTTAATTTGTGTGTTAAATGAAATTGAATAACAGATTGGTCTTATTGACAATGAAAAATCCACCTTTATTATGTTTGTCAAGTTGTTGTTCTCAGAATGGCTGGCTAATGAGCTCAGAGTACAGAGAAGTGAGGACGCCCTGTCAGACCCAGAACGGTAAGGCAGGAAACACACACACACACTCTAACAGGTGCCATTAGACACACTAGAAATAAAGTTGGTGCAGCTTTTAACTGTGTGTGCGTGTGTGTGTAGTCAGGAGTACCAGCAGTGGGCCTGCTTGGAGCTGTACCTGTCTCGTCCGGTGGAGCAGGGAGGCTGTGGAGGTGACATGAAGAACCTCTGCTCTCATCTGCTTAATGCCATCATGGACCAGCACTTAAGGTAGTACATGCTCACAAAAAGTCTTGTATAAATTGCACGCTGGACCATACTGGACTGTCATACTGTAGCACCCTAAAGGACTGTAAGAGATTTAATACAAAGGCAACAAGAGCCTGTCCCTTCCTTTGTTTAAAGTAAATGTACATTGTTATTTTCACCTTTAGTAAAAACTCTTTTGTGTATTTTCTGCACAGTGACCAGACCCTTGAAATGCTGGATCACAGAGTGTCAGGAACAGGGACCTGTCTGCCAGACATCCTGTCCAGAGTCCAGGTGTGTATACTCCATATGTGAGTGTGTGAGACACCAGTGAAAACTGCTTATTATAGTGTGATGTCGTGGTCTTAACATTCATAGTGAAAAAGCAAAATCCTCTCTTCAGGAAGGTGATGTTTAATCAGAATCTGTGTGCGTGTGCGTGCATGTAGGAGCTCGTCTATGAGATGGAATTGACTGACCTCTCCGGCAGCAGTAGAAGCAGAGCTGATGTGTGTGACTTCCTGTTTGATTTGGTGTCTGAGAGATGCTCCTCCTCCTCCGCAACGAGCTCGGCTTCACTGAGCATCAGCAGCCAGCTCAGCCTGCAGCACACTCTGAACACATGGAACAGGTGCGTACACAAATATGTTACGCAGATCATCTCTCATTTCATTTACAGCCACTGAAAACTGTGTGTGTGTCACAGGGTGCTTCTGGCTCTCCCAGCAACGTTATTCCTTCAAGTAAAGACTGAAGGAGGGAGGACGAGTCTGGAGTGCAACAAGCTGATAGAGCACGTCAACCGGCATCAGGTGATTCAGATTTGAATGCAGTTGGATCAGCTGTTTGGAAAAGTGCAGTGATTGTGCGTGAGACATGTACTTTTTTAGTAAACTCAATAGTGACTCTTCTCTCCTGTTCTTGCGACAGAGGAAGGCGTGTTCTACAGCCGGTTTGCTGTCCTGCCATCTGACCGCGCACCTCCTGAGAGTGAGAACCACTTTACTAAAGAGAAGTCAAAGCTAAGATACGTTTCTTACCGTATGTCCACAAGTCTGCTGTTTTTGCTCCAGGGCGTGTTATGTGCCAGTGTACGCTGCGGGGGATGCTCAGCAGAGGAAGTCAACAAAGCCTGGACTCAGATCAGTCGACACTGTCCTCTGCTCCTGGTCTCTACAGTGGTACAGTTTGTTCTCCATACAGCTAATGAACTTCAGTAACTCAACTCAGCTTTAATTATATGGTACCTTTTATACAAACAGGCAGCCCAGAGTGCCCTTACATAGCAAAACTGAAAAAAAAACCACAGACAAGAATAAAATACTTTGCAAGACTAAAAATGTATGCAATAGAACAATAAAATGTTAAAAAATAATTAAATAAAAGTCAGTAGAATACAAAAAAAAACCATAAACACCAGGGATAAAAAAAAATATAAAAACCAATGGTAAAGTTATTAAAACTAAAGCTTTAACATTACTCATTGAACTACATTATTCAACCTCATTGCTAGGTGACACTAAACCCTACATGCTGCTCCTTTAACAAAAAGTCTTGTCCATTCATAATGGTCTTAAAAGGTCTTAAACCTAACCTGCTGAAACCTGCAGAAACCTGTGATGGTGTCTTTTTCTTATTTCTGTCAGTAATTGATGCTCAAAGTCACACACATTCTTTCATTAGTTACAATGAGGTTAGTAAAAGGGTTTAGTGCAAATAATGTGCACTGAAAGAAGTTAAAAAAAGATGATTAGAAAAGAAGAGGGGAGCTGTTTGATGCAGACGAGTGAGAAAATGTAATACTTTAAATACATGTACAAATAGAGCCACTGGAGGACTGGATTGTAATGTAATGTAAAGGCAGTTTTTCCTTGCCCCCGTCACCAAGTGCTTGCTCATGGTGGTACTGTTGGGTCTCTGTAAATGTTATAAGGAGTTCGGTCTAG